ATCGCGCGAAGAGAGCATAGAGTCATAGAGGCTTTGAAACTTCAACTTGCTTGCTTCTGCACTTGGCGTGCAGCAGATGCGCATTGCATGAGCTCTGCGAGACATGGGCTCCCTATATACCCCTGTTTTCACTACCAGGCTTGCACCGCGCACTTCGTGAGCCGCTCGGGCGCATCGAAGAGGCAAACGCCGCCTCAGGATGTGCAGGGCACCGGAAAGGCTCCGGTAAGGCGACTCGTTCAGCAAAGCCCCGCACTTTGCTGGAAGCGTTCGGCAGCCTCACAGAGGTGACCGTAGAACTCCACCTGCTTCCACAGGACAAAGGAAAGGGGCTTTCCTGCAGCAGGAGAAAGCTCTGGCGTCCTGCATGGGCTGAAACGAAGCCTTGCTCTTCTTCGATTTGCTCACACACCCCGGAAGACTATTCAAAGAAATAAAGCACCTCATGGGCCCAAAGGCATTGCATCTGTTCGCTACATGGCTCAGTTACACAAGTGGGAGTCACCGCGCTGCCGCTGCCGCGGAGGACCAGCGCCACCGTGTTGGCCGTCTCCGGCACCTCTTTTCTGCATAAAGGGGAAGCTGAAGCTCTCTGCAGGGGCCCCGTGCCGGCCTCAAGAGCCAAAGCTGGAGCGGCCTGCTCAAGGAAAAACGTGGCTCGAAGTCCCAAAACGTCACTCGTGGAACGGGGCGGAGCGGTGTGCCTGTGCCTTGCTGCCCTGAAGTCGCTTCTGAAAGCCGCGGAGCATCTCCTACCACGGCTTGTTGGCTCGGGAGAGATTGTAAGCTTGAAGTTGTTCCATCCTCGGTGGGGAATCCAGGCGGCACGTTGGCCTCGGTGGATCATAGCTTCACAACACAAGGGGAAAAGCTTCCTGGCCCCTCTTTCCGACTCCTGCCCCTGTGCCCCTGTTGTCAAGCGGCCGCGACCACGGCTCGTTCTTTGAGAAGCACGGGCAGGGCTTCTGCAAGCGGCCCAGCCTTGCCAGGAAACCCATGCCCGGTGCTACGACATACCTGGTCCAATCCCTCGATCCTCGTCCCACAAAGGTCGTGGGACCCGGTTGAGAGCGTCGTAAGCATCGATGATGACCTCGAGGCAGTCCCAAGGCTTCCACGAACGACCGAACCACTACAACCGAAGCCAAAGCCAGTAGCAGCTAGTACTTGCTAGTAGCTAGACTCAGCTAGACTCAGCTAGGCCATTCTGTGCCAGTCTGCAGCATCGTATCGGGGACCGTGAGGATCAGCTGCCCACTCCGCAGCCAGGGCGGCACCTGCGGTGCCAAGGTCTGTGTGCCGCAGCCCAGTGGTTGGCAGTTTCTAAGCCGCACGTGTAAGTGCATGTCTGCTTCCAAGGTTGTTCGACGACGCCACAAAACTCCACACACAGAACACAAGTCTTTATGAGTGGCCTCATTCTTGATCCTCATCTCATCGTTTCGCATGGAATTCAGGCTGAATGCAGCAACACATCACCATCAAATCCAAACCCTGTCCCTCCCTGCCGTCGCCGCAGATCGCTTGCAGGCGACCTCTCAACGCTCGGCGCAATGGGGAGGAGCCGGTGCCTTTCCACAGGTCGCGGGAACTTGTGCTGTCTCAGGCCGACACAAGAACCGACCTGTGGTGACATGCACTCGCACAGGCTTGGAACTTGTCATTGATTTCAACGACTGCAGAGGCATGCAAGGCTCCAAGGTTTGCACCAAGCGCAGTCCTTGATTCGCATTGCTTAGCTGGACTCATGTACCGACTTGGCTTCATGAATTCTCTGACTGTTGACGTGGAGGTCTCGCAAGATGTTGCGAGAAAACTGCCTCGCCAAGATGGTGCGACCAATACATGTGGTTATGTCAGGGCTCGCCACCTATGAGGTGGTAGTGGCACTGGCCTTGCAGGACTAATTTGTTGATCAACCATGGACACATCAAGCCGGGGTTGACGCCTCCACTACCCCCCGCGGCGGGGAAACCCAGAGCTTCGCCGGCAGCACGGATCACTGCCTCCTCTGTCCAAGCATGGTTTGACAAGAGAACTTCACCAAGGACTAGAGTTAACTTCAACGAATGCCCTCCTGAAGCTTTCAGAAACGGCATGGCTCGGCGATATGAAGCCTCGTTTCACGTGACACCAAAACACCCGGCGTCTTCTCCGTTTGAAGACTGAAGCTGGAACTAGAACGGAGTCCGTGCACAGCCCGAGTCTGCTGCCTCCAACTCCACCACATCAACAGAGCTGTCTGGGACTGCGTTGGCCAGCCAGAGTGGCACAGAGCCTGAACCTAGGCGCCGCGAGGACTTCTGCAGCAGCAGCTTGGCTTGCTTCGTCCCCTCACTCAGCGCTCGTCACAAGGAGCAACCAATGCGGAACTGCGGGCTTGACTCTCCACAGTACGCGCGGCAATTGTCGAATTGCGGTCTACCATGTAAGCCCGCGAGCTGATTGGACACAGCGTCCAGTGTGGTCTTGGTTGTTGAGGGATAACTGTCGCTACTGTGTCATTTCACCGTCGTCTTGTTGGCTGCAACGGGTCCTGCCGGTCTTACGCAATATGTTTGGAGAAGACAAGGCCATGATCTGAAGTTGATGCTCGCATCCTTCCGCACAGTTGCAGAGCATCCTTCACTGTAACATCCAGCCAGCTATTGTCCGCTGACTCCGTTGAAGCTTGCTCTCCAGGACTCCGGGCCTATGGGAGTGGACTTTGTCCACCTGCCGTGAGTGTCGCAGTAGCCTGTCCTTGTGAGATTTCCAGCGCTCGGACATTCTTCCAAGTTACTGATCACCTCAATCACGCTGTTACCCGTTCGAGATCATTTTGAGTGGGACGATGCCTGTCTTGAAAATTCACTTAACTTGGTTTTCACTTCGGAAGGCATCCAGATTTCCAGCCTCTTTTGAGTCAATGATCGATCATGGCGAGAAGGTGCTATGGGGTTCACGTGCGTAGAAGTTAGAGCTAAACGCATAATCTAGCTAACTTGCCGACCTGCATATTAGCCATGTCGTCCTCACTCTTTGCAGCAATGCCTTGTAGTCTAAGATCCAAGAAACTAGCATCCTCGCGCTCTTGCTTGTTCTAGCAGGCGTGCTGTGTGGCCACTGTTCATTTGTCTAGCCCTTGCGCTAGCCACATCTTTGGCGAGGATGCCACAATCTGGTGACAGTGGCCTGTAACTGTCAAGCTTGTAAGAATTTTTTCGCGCACACCTTGGCGATTGTACAGGCTCGAGGCTTCCAGTCCACTCTTGCAGCTGCCTTCGAGATGCCGTCATCTAAACACTTGGTACATAACTTCCAGGGTGCATCAAATCCAGGAGTCGTGCTGCCTGCTCTGCAGTAAACATAGTGCGCGGCTACATCCTTCGTCCCATTAGATCTCCTGACGAGTGGCCAAGGCCAATCACCAAGATGCGAGGCGACCGGGCGTCCATCATCACCAAGCTTGCAGCAACCGAGGCTGCAAGGGTCTTGGGATAGTTCAAGGCCAGAACCTGACGAACGGACTGGCTTCAAGCTGTCATTCATTGGTGGTCACAAGCTGAAATCTCAATTTGTCTTTCGACAAATAGCCTTCAAATGACCCCGCTACTAGAAGCAGGCAGTTTGCCGGATTGTCCGGTTGTCCAGAGATTCCGTGATGGGCCGATGCCTGAGGATCAGCTTCTGGGAGCCAGCGGCCGTCAGCTGTGCACGTCACTTTCCTTGCCAAACGTCTGAGCAACACCATGCCGGCTATGTGCATCTTACATCATATGGTACTATGCAACATGCGACAGGTGCAGCAGTTCATGTTCACTTCCACTTCCGATCGCAAAACTAACACCGTTGCTGTGTCAGAAATTCTCACGAAGATTCTCCAACGACCAGCGACGTAGCAGTCATGGTGTGTGAAGGCTTTTCGGCCATCTGCTTGCACCGATGCGATCCTGAATCCTGACAGCCTGCTTAGCTTGCACAGCTCTACGGCCTGCTTCCACATGCATCCCGGGTGCGACACAGATTGGACAAAAGGCGGGCCCCGCTCCTTTCGCGAAAAAAATGCTCTGATTGGTTCGCTCCTTGAAAAAAACTCAATACTGCGAGCCATGTTTGGCGCGCGGACGAATTGATTATTCTTCGTGCCGTGTCGTGTCGGCTGTACTGTTCCAGGACAGCCGCACTCCTTGGCAGTTTCTGGTGCCGATTCGAAGACCAAGCTCCTCCCAGAGAAGGCACATCGCAGGCACGATGCCACGCACTAGAAACCGGCCTCCACTCCTGAAAGCTCCCAGTGGGCCACCCTGGCGGCACCTGCACGCAAAGCACGAAGAGACTTGGTTTGAAACCTTGTGTGACCTGCTTTCAAAAAGCATAAATTCGATGCCCTATCTGATGAAAATCTGATTGCACCTGCTGCTCTGACGCCCTGTATCCTTGCACGAGGAGCCGTCCACCGCAACTGAGAGGAAGCGATAACCTGAATTTGCTTGTACTACTTGTTGTTTGAATCGGTGGGATCTGGTTTTGGAAGTTCGCCATGTCAGTTTGAGAGGCTTCTTTCAAGCTTCCCCAACATTGGCGACAGGTCTTAGGGTAACAGGACAGCTCCAACAGCCTCAGGGGGACAAGCATAATCGAACTTACATACGAATTTCGTGGATTTGACTGTCCTGTGTCCGGTGGCCGTTCCTCGCCGGGGCCGGAATACTCGCAGCGGAGCTCCCTCCTGAAAGCAAGCAACGTCTGGGCTTGGGAACCCTGCCTTGTTCGCAAGCACATCTCTCTTATTCCTTTCGTCTCTCTCTCGCTCTGCTTCTCTCTCCCTGCACGCTGCTCTGTTGGATGGTCAACGTGCCGTACTCTGGCACCAGTACCGGTTGCGACTCAGTATCCACTGCCCTCAACATAACAAAGCATCCTTCCCGGATCTCGCCGAGAAATCTCTGCGAAGAATGCCGCATGTAGGGTATGCCAACCTCGACCACAACCAGACATGAAAACATACCGTTGCGGAAACGCACTCGCAACAAGGCATGACGTTCTGTCCACGAATCCCCACCCCTGCATGCCATGCCGTTTTGCTGCCAAGCCTCTTGTGATTGCAAGAACCAGGATGCAACCTGTCAGCCGTCTCCATGCCTTCCGAAACAACATCGGTAGACCAACACACAAGCAAAAATGGAAGGCCATTTGACACAAGCACAGCAGGCAACGCGCGGACACACAAGACTGCGCATCTTCCATCCGCGATGGTTTTTTATACATCAATCAGTTGTGCCTGTCGTTTTGCTGTGCCGATACAAGCCGCCATGTTTCACGAACTTTGCATATGGACATGCTCCAAATGCACTGTACTAACACTGACAACAAGCTTACGATCAATATCTATGATGCAGACGACCGACATGTTGCAATGATTCCGAACAAGCGCATGTGGCCTTGTTTGTCTGGCACGGTTCTAAACCCTGTGAAAAGGCAACAAACAGCAAGTGCGGCAAGCAGCGCCGCAACAGCAACCGAAAAATACTTTTCCGGCTCAACAAAGTTTAACAGTTCATCTTCCATCATAACAGCAACGTCTAGAACAACTGTCACAGTCGATGACAAGTATAACAAACCAGCTACAACAAACTAAAATATACGAATCTCAAACAACACGAGAAATCCGGACAACGCTCAACACTTCAAAACAAAAGCAACAACAGCAACAGGTTGCCAAAACTCCTGCAGTTCTGCAGTCTCAGAAGCCCCAGAAAATTGGTCGGTTTGGTTTATTGATGCTTTTGATGTTCTTGGTTTTTCCGGCATTCTTTCCCTAGTCCCCCGGCCACGGAAAGTTCTTTATGTTGTTCATATAACATGTTAACAGCATGCGAGCTGAAGAGACATTTTGTTGCTGGGTGCTGCTCAAAGTTGCGCAAGGTCGGCCTGCAGATTGCAAGCAGGCTGTGAACCCCTTACGTGTGAAAACTAATGCTAGTGTCAGTGGCATATTGATGCTATGAGGCATGGTTTGAATGCTCAAAGTCAGGGTGTGACTGCTTTGCAAGCGGCATTTGAGCAAGGGAGGGCGGGAGTGGTTTACGAAAAAGCGTGTCGCATGCTGGCCAGAAAGCTACATGAAATAAGTTGTTAATGCATGCAAGCTTGTAACAGCAAATAAAAGAAACACGATGACACAGAAAAAAGAATTACGTGGAGCGTTCTCTATATTGTTCGTGTAGCATGTTAACAGTATGCGAGCAGAAGGGATTTTTTCCTCGGTGCTGCTTGCAGTTGCGAAGGTCGGCCTGCAGATTTGAAAATTCACTCCTTTTCTCACGCACAAAGGGCTGCAACGGTTGAGAAATCTCAGTGTCATCCTTACGCAGGGGTCATGCTATGCCCGTGCTATCAGCTCTGCTGTCTGAATGCACCAGCGAATGACATGTACACTGCGCACTCCAAGGGGCTATTTTGCACTAACATGCCCCCTCAGTTTGGTGTGCTAACGCCTAAATGGTCACGGCACTCACAGTTGAGACTCAGCAGCGTCGGCGCCGGGGCTTCTGCTCAAAGTAAGCCTCGTTGAAGCGAACCAACGTCGCGTGGTCGTCCCCACACCATTGCTCACAGGGAAAGAGGCCTCGTTCTAAGGTCTAAGGCTTGACGAGCTGTCAAGGCAGTGAGGACCTCCTGAAGTCCTGAAGGATGAGCATGTAGCCCTGTGGTAGCTGTAGCCCCAACTCGGTGCGTAGTGGGCTTGCCATTGGAGGTTCTCTTCGGCTTGCACTGTTCTAGCACTCGATATACTCGCAGCTGCTATTTTGACCGTGTTGCTTCTGAGTAGGCTCGGGGCTAGACGGAGGGGCCTAGGCCCGAGGTTGGACCGTAGGCTAACAGTCACCCCCCGTCCAGACATTGTGAGAAGTCGGAGTGATGTAGGCCAATACCTGTGTTCTGCTGCGAACCCAAGGCGGAGTTCTAGGCTGGAACTGCTTGGCACCCTTGACTTTGCAAACGTAGGCAACAGCTGGTAAGTCACGCCTGTTCTGCCGGTAGGTGGGTCTGTCGTTAGGAGGGCCTGCAGAAGCTGCGTAAGCCAGGGCAACTAAGGAGTCTCTAGACCAGTGCGGAGCGATGCAGGGTAGGCTATGTTCTGGGCTGCCCGAGGCGGGTTCGATGTTTAAAGTGAACCACGCCATGAAGCATGCACTGCTGTTGAGCTTCCCCGCCTCCTCCTGCTCTGAGCACGAAATGCGATCCTGGAATGCTGGTGTAGCCCTGGGTAATAGCTGGGCATTGCCACTTCGCAGAATTTGTTACGCGATCCAGGATCTGAATGAAGGAAGCATCGTCATTCCAGGGAGTGGCCTGGGAGTAATGCCCGACTGCTTCCGGTCCATCCGCTATGGTAGCCGGAGCTATGAAGCGGGAACGGATCATTCCTTCAATTCCTGACGTGTCTGAACCATGGGCAAAGTAATATAGATTGCGTTGTTCAGCAGAAAGGTCCTGATGCGAAACAAAAGGGGTCGCGCAACTCGAAAGACCAGTAAACATGTGCTTTAGACTCAAAGCACTTGACTCGATCGAACATCCGAGTTGTGTCCCCTGTGAACTGGCACATCACCGTAGCAAGATATTGAAGCTCAAACGGTGGAGGAAGCTGCACAAATTTAACAGCGCACAATTCCTTGAGAGTGGCCAGGTTCTTCTCGATTGTTGGCTGAGGGGCTGCTTTCAGAAAAACACGAAATGGCCAAGTCTTCAATTGTACACTGACTGCACCACCCACTGCTCTGGACACAGTCAACTCTGTATGCATGTCCTGACCATTTGCAGTAAGAACAGGGTCCGAGGCATACAGTGGAGGAGCTGTAGGAGTGCATTCAATGCCTGATGCAGGGGGCGGGGGCGGTGGGGGCGGAGGCAAAGATGCCTTGGCCTGCTGAGTGGCTGCTGTAACCTTGAAGTTGCTTCCTGATTGGCGGGAAGTCGCCAAAAACACTGCCTTGTCTGCAGTGTCATACCAGACTGAAATATCCGAAGCATCATCAGCAGAAGCAGTATCTACCTCCATACGATCGGCCTGGGGCTCTGTCGGAAGTCCTGAGTGCTTAGGCGAGGTTCCCGAGGGTGCCCCACGATCCTCGGTATCCCGAAAACTCGAAACTTCCACAGCTCCTAGCATCTGTCGTCGTCTCTTCTCCAAAAAAGCAATACCTACAGACCCCTTAGGGGTACGTACCACCACAGGTCCTTGAGGGTGCAGCTCTACAGACTTGTCACTGGTATCCGAAGGAAACTCCGATGTCGTAGAGTGGGAAGACGGGGAAAGAATGTCCTGTCCTCCAGTCTGGTCCTGTGGGGAACCAGGAATGTCCCGTCCTCTGGAATGATCCTGTGGGGACCCAGGAATGTCAATTCCCTGGCATCCAAACTCCGGCAAAGGAACTTGCGAAGCATCCGGTGCTGTCTCTTCCACAGGACACAGCAAGATGTCCACACCGACGACGGGAGATTCGGGCTCCATGCTGAAACACGGCTCACGAGACATGAGCTGACACTGATCAACGCTCATATTCAAGCTCCCCACTGAGCACTGTAAGACTCGGGAGTCACTTTGCGACCTTTTGGTCCGGAGAGCCTATCGCCTGTCAGATCGGGGAACCATTTTCCTGTTGCCCCATAGGAGCGGAGAAAGCCTATCACCTGAAATCTGGCCACCATCTAGTGCCGTACGCTCCATTAGCCTGTTCCGAAGGAGTACGGCTCTTTCGGTACCATATTGGGTCGCACAACGTACCCGGGCAGTCCGCAGGAGTGTGGGTTGCCAATGGCAACAAGGCCACACACGGATGAGAGTTGTCAACACAGTTGACAAGTCCAATTGTATATATTTCTGGGGAAGATCTTGAAGGGGATGAGGATGATTCCATTAACACCTGAAACAGCATCCAATTACCACCTGAAACAGCACATCTGAGAATTGACATCGGCTTCACTCTGTACATTGCAGGTACGTGAGCCAGGCGTCCCCCGCTCATATCAGTGATCTGTAACAGCCTCTTCGTTGGACTGCCACTGCTACAGATCAGGCAGTCCCCCTGCATCTGCAAGCGTAAACTACTTGCATGGAAATGTCTTTCCAATTTCCTTACCTTAGAACATAGTGTACACACACACAGAGACACAACACACACAGAACACACAGACACAGCACACACACACACACACGCACACACACACACACACATTTTCACATGTACACATGATATGTCAAGACCGCGCTTTTTCCAGGCCTCAGCCTTGAAGACAATGCGAATTCACGCCACCTTTTCATCAAAGCACCTGTTTATTTTTCCACACATGCCGGCTGAATTCTGACAAGAAGGCAGATCATTTTTGCATTCAAAAGCACTTGTGGAGTTGATGATGCAGCGGGATCTCAAAGTGAGTGATGAGACTGGACACTTTGGTTCCCAAGGCGGTGGCCGTGGCTCAAGCCAAAGAATACGTCCTACACACCCAGCCAGTTGAAGTCGTCAATATGCAGATGTTTTTCAACGTGCAAGCTTTGATGTTGCAAAAACGTCGAGGAAGTAAGCACATGTGTAACAAGCACAGACATGAAGAGACAAGTGTACTTCCTGCAGTTGTGTGTGTGTGTATGCCATGTCTCTGCGCTGAAAAAATGTCCCCAGGTCCTACGTTCTCGACTTCTTGGATCATCAACGTTGCGATAACAACGCAATTGACTTCCTGTTTGTCAATGTGTTGCATGCTGGCAAAACACGTGTGGTTTACAAAGCAGTCCCTCAATCAAGACTGAACGGGATAAACGTGATAAATTAGACATAAATCTGACACAAACTGGACACAAAATTGAACATCTGTGGTCTTGATGCGAAAAAAAACTATTTTTCACCCACATCATACATTTTACCAAAACATCTCAGATTTTTGTACACAACCTCTGATTTTTTGCAAACCTCGGTATTTTTTTGAAAGATACAAGATGTTTCTTGTCACAGAAAATAACGCTTCGATTTTCAACCAGCCATAAACCTCTTTGTTCTAAGTCAAAAGTCTAATACAAAAGCACCATCGTGTTTCCATCCATGAACACACCCCCCAAAACCCAATTCCGGGCAAAACCCTGATTCCAAAAAACGAACTCTCCAAAACCTCCAAAACCCAGACTGCAATCAGAAATGTCTGGAAGCTGTCTAGAAAGTTGGTAGTCTGCTGGAAAACGCTCTCTCTTGTGCGGGTGCCCCTTCGCTCGACAGAA